CAAATTTCAAGTCATTCAGATTTGTATAAAAAAATTGAAAAATGAAATACTATTGGATAATCGTGACCGTACGATGAACTTCGGAAGGTAATGAGAATAGGCGAAATCATTATTTATTTTCGTTTATAGGCGTTTTGTAGTATCTTATTAGATATACATATAAGAAATAATCCTATAAGACCCTCCCCTACCCATGTGTGTAGGATCCCAAAGAATTATCGTTAAATTTGACACAGATCTATAAAAAAATCAAGTCCCACACCCATGTGATAACTTTTTTAGAGACAAACTTTAATAGTGATCATTTGGGCTACACACATGGGTGGGGAGGGTCCTATAGGATCATTACTTTATATATATATATATGCTCGTACTATAGAACCCACATGAAGCATTAAATACCACTAACAATGTTGTAATATCACACTTCATGTAGATGATGTCACACATCTCTTGATGATAAAAAATACCCTTACTAAAAAAATACTCTATGTATAAAACAAATATATATAAGTGTCCAGAATTTATTGAATACAATTACAAAATGCTATATACTATATGATGTGAGCACCCACAACTAGTATTGCATGGTGATAGATATTCATGACTATGAATTATTATAGTCATATACAAATGTTATGGTGATAAATACTCATGACCGTGAATTATTGTGGTCACATGCTTTATACCATGCTCTTCACTTTACATTTAACTCGTAAAATGGCAAGGTAATGAATTTTAATTTTCAAACCCCGTGGTTATTTCTTATTATAAAAAGGAAAATTTATTAAAAATGGAAAAATTCATACTATACTCTAATTTCATGTATGATTTTTTTTATAGACATTGAAATTTAAAACATTTATAGTGGTATAAACTTTACGAGTTTTCTATCTTCTAACCTCCTAAACAAATTTTATTTAAATAAAAGTCATTTTAAACACCTTATTTGCCCAAAACAAATATTATAAAAACGTACATATCCTCTCTCTACCCCAAACTACCCTCACTCTCTCTCCCCCAATCACAGCTCTGAGCTATGCCCCTCTGTCTCCCCCCAATATGATATTTGTACCATACCCATCTCTCTACCTCACCCCATTGCTCTCTCTCTCTACGCTAACGTATTGCTCTCTCTCTCTACCCTAACATATTGCTCTCTCTCTCTCTCCCCACCCCAATTTGAGTCAGGCGCCATGCCTCAATTTGAGCTCTGCCCTAAACAAATCCGGCTTTGTTGGGCAACGTAGTTTTGAGCCTCAAACTATTGATTCTAGAGAGAGAATTATTCATATTTATTGGGTTCGATTATCCATGTTCGAGCTCCTCAGTCATTATTTCAAGGCCTCAACCCGGGGTTTGGGATTTTTATGTTGAGCAGTGAATCTAAAAAGAGAAATAGAGGCTGCATCTTATAAAAATACGTTGTAACCAGATCGTCACTTTAAATGATTCAACTGAGTCCATGTCAAAGTTTGAAGGCCCTAATATGGCACTGCACCTGCATCCATTCTCATTTAGTTGTTAATATGGCCCTAATATGAGAGAGATGGAAGTGCGCGTCCTATATGATATGTTTTGCGCAAATTAGTTGTTAAATTTGATTTGATATGGGCACGACAGAAATGGAAGTGCGCGGCTTATAGGATATGTTTAGGCCAAGTAAGTTGTTAAAATCGACTCTTATACGGATACAACCGGTTCAGGAGAGTTGGAAGATAAAAAACTATCAGTATAATGTTGCTGTAAATGCTACAAATATTAGGATCTATGGAGAAATCATAGACAAAATAAGGGTATATGATGAAGTTTTTATTTTTCTTTATTGTACCTTGAAATATGCACCCTTTAGCATCTTCTACTTTTGGTACTATTCCAACTCATCATCACATATATTTTTATGGGTATTTTAGAATTCAATCAAATAGCAATGATACATTGTTAAATATTTCATCTCAAATGGGTACCTTGATGATTTTATTTTATTAAAATTCTCGTCATTTTTTTGCATTTTACATTTATATCCCTTTTTTAACCTTTTTTCCCAAAATATCCCCACCTCTTATAAGTGAACAATTTATGTAGAAATATTGTTTCATACAAGCAGGACCGCATTGCTACATATGCAGTCTGGAAAGTGCAAAACATCCACCTTAAAGACGGATGGAAGTAGGTGTCCCATCTAAAAACAATGGAACTTAACAGTTCAAATGTCTTCTTACTGTAATTATTATTTTTAGTTTTTTAAATTATTTATTTTCATATTCATGATATGCGTGTCCTAAAAAATTAAGTATTGAAATCTATCTTGGAAATAAATGTATTAATGAGCCCGCATTTCTACATATGCGGGTTTGGCCGCATAGAAACTGGGTCCATTTATGAATGAATTGTTGAACAATATACTTGCAATGACTTTTGGACCTTCATTATTTGAAATCAAGTTTTGCCAAACAACATTGGATCTTCAATATTTGAAATCATTTCGACAAGTGTCTTCAGACATTGAAAGTTCAAATTCACCATTCTCCAAATTTTTAAAGTCAATTATATTATCAATTATGACTTTGAAGCCTCGATGCGAGGGTATTTAAAAAAAACAGAAAAAGGGAAAAGGGCATATGAGCATAAAATAAAAAAATTAGAAAACCTTTTATAATAGTGGTGCCACGAGTATAGATTTATTAGGAAAAAAGTTTATATAAAGTTGCAACCTTAAAAATGTAGAACTACAGATGTACCTAAATAATATATCAAAAAGGTTGTTTTAATGTTGAAAAACTCTCTAATTGTTCATCTCGACATTGAGATGTATGAATACGAAAAAAAATAAGTATTTGAGTCCTAAAAACAGTGCATCTTGCAACAGATTATTTAAACCGTCCGTTTTCAAGATTTTCATATGTTTATAGATCTATTTAATTTTAATTATATTTAGAGTTTTAAATTTTGTAATTATATATGAAAATAGATTTTAAGATAATTATATGATTTTTTTACAATAAAATTGCTATAAAATTTGGAGGTGCACCGTAATTGGATTGTTTAAGGGTTTAGAAACCACACCCAAAATGATTAATACCCCCAAAATGAGCTTTTTAGACCTTCTACCTTCACCTTAACATTTATTTACTATTTTTTTTAAAAAAAAATCAACTTTTTTTATCCAAAAAAATATGAGTCAAAGACAATTTTACCCCCGTTTTGACCTTTACCCATTACCCCTCCCGTTAACCCATTTACTCTGTTTTCCTTACGAACCCTGGGGTTTACCCATTCCTCTATTTTCCTCACGCTGACGGCTTTTTCCTCAAGAGCTCACGGCCTCTTCCTCATGCTTACAGCTTTCTCCTTCACCACCACGGCTTCTTCCTCACGGTTTTCTCTATTTTTCTCGGCTTCTTCCCCACCTCTTCTTCCCACCCGATTTTCCTCTCTATTAGCTTCCTCACGGTTTTTCCTCTCCATAAATCTCTTATTCCCATCGGATTTCCCTCTCCATTAGCTTGCTCACGGTTTTCCCTCTCCACAAATTTATTTCTCTCTCCATTGGCTTCCTCACACAAATCGAATCTCTCTATAGGCAAAATAAATAACATATAGAGGAAATTCCAATCCAATATAGAAGTATTATAGAGAGAGAGGAGAGAGTGTGTATATGTGCGTTTGAGAGAGATAGAGAGAGATTTTGCACAATATAAAAGTATTCTAGAGGGAGAAATGGATATTTCGCACAATATAAGTACTCTAGAGAGAGAGAAAGATTGAGATTTCACACAATAGAGGTATTCTAGAGAGAGAGAGATTTCACACAGCACAGATGTTTCTAGACATAGAAAGAAAGTTGTTTGGTGAAATAGACTGAGAAAGAAAGTTGTTTGGTGAAAGAAAACAAGTATTTATAGCAAACAAAGAATGAAGGAACAAACCAAGAACTTGGAGCATTTTTGGGGGATTCGACATTTTTTGAACGCATTTCGGAGATCACAGTCCGACATTTATGAAAGGCGCTCCGACAAAACTAAAACTCATTTCGGCATTTTCTGAAAGCACTTCGGAGATTAGTTCACTATAAAAAATCAGTCCAGCACCTGTAAAAAGCATTCCGGCAAAATTAAAAATCACTCTGGCGTTTCTTGAATCCGCTCCGGAGATTGATTCACTGTTAATAGGCAGTCCAGAATCTAAAAAACGCGTACCGACAAAACTAAGAAGCACTCCGGCGTTTTCTGAATGCACCCCGAATAATGTTCACTGTTAAATAAGCACTCTAGCATATGTAAAATGCACTCCGGCAACATTAGAAAGCACTCTGGCATTTGTTGAAAGCACTCCGGAGATTAGTTCACTGTAAAAAAGCAGTCCGGCATCTGCAAAAAGCACTCCGGCAAAACTAAAAGGCACTCTTGCTTTTATTGAATTCACTTCGGAGATTGATTCACTGTTAATAGCCAATCCGAAATCTAAAAAACGCGTATCGATAAAACTATGAAGCACTCCAGCAATATGTTTCTTGGGTACACAGACACTTTAGTTCGGCGTTTTAGATATTCGATCCGGCATATTGTTTTCTCAAAATCACTTCGGAAAATAATAACTGCGGTCCGGTGTTAATGGAAACTGGGATCCGTCCACATGATTTGATCGCACGTTCAAGGTACAAAAAGGGGTATTTTTGGTAAGAAATAAATATTTTTTGGTTGGGGGGGTTTTACTAAAGAAAGTTGGGTTTTTTTTTAAAAAAAGAGTAAAGAAAGATTAGGGTGGGGGGTAGAAGGTCTAAAAAAGGTCATTTTGGGATTTTTTTTGTAATTTTCGCTTGATTCTTTGCCTATAGGAAAAATATGGTCTATTAGAATCACGGTCCAATCAATAGATGAACGGCGATGGAGATAGATAGATACACTACTGGGTCATGCATTGCGCTCCTCTCTCTCCATCACAACACATTCATTAGCTGGACGGCAGTGATGCTTATAACCGTGGGTCTCGGACATGGAGATTTTATTACGTACTACTGAGCACTCATGCCCAAAGCCCCAAACCCTAAACATTGCTAAAGTCCGCATGGACGAAGAACTCTCTCTCTCTCCAGCTCCTCAGGTACTCTCTGTACAACCAGGCATGGAGTTTCTGATGTATTTGTAATCTCGCCAAATGCCCGTATGCTCTGAGTTTATGATTTTTCTGCAATATAAGTTCGCGGTTTCATCTTAAAATCTCTCTCTCTCTCTGCCTCTCTCTAATATCCAATATTTTCAATTTTATCACATTCCACGTTCTCTTATGGTGCTGCTTGTTTTATTTGTCTGTTATTTGCTTATTTATTTTCTTTTAATTTTCTGGTTATTTCCCCTATGTTTTTTTCTCCTTTATAAATACTTCCCACTTAGTAGTTCAGGTTCAGAGTTTTCATCTTCCTCATTTCCTATAATTTATTTGATGAATTATGCGATACTTCATTTGTTTGACTGTTTTCCCTATTTCTTCTGTTGGTTTTTCCTAAATTTCCTTTCTTTTTTTGCTTCCTTCTTCATGTTTTTCACTTCAAAATATAATTTTTTTTATTGATTGTGACGTTTATTTTGCAGTGAATTCTTCAGGTTTAGGTTTTCTCCTCTCTTATTGCACTCTACAATCATGGCCCGTACTCTTAAAAGGAAGAAGATACTCAAGAAATCCAAGGTAATGTCTTTGTTGCTTGATGAGAAGCTCTAATTCTCATTCTCTGTATTGATATATCTATAATTTGCGATTGTCACTTCTTTTATTCATTCTTGAAATCATTCATTGTCTGGAGATCCGAATTGCTATTCTCCTACTTGTTCCGAATTGCTATCATCCCACTTGCGAATTACTCATACTTATGCCATTGTAATTTGCAGGTTAAGAGCAAGGGTGCAAGTTCTTCTAATCCACAACAAAATCCTGCAAAGGCATGTATCCTCTGTGGCATGTACATTTACTCGTTAATTTTGGGGAAATTTATAAAATCACACCAAATCATAACCCAGAGTTGTACCATTTAACATCTCACCCATAGGTTTGAGTTGATAAATTTCAAAATCCATAATGATATCTCATTTCATGGGCTGAAATTTGATAAAAAGAATTATCTATCAAAGGGTACGTGTGAAAAATGTACACACTCTTTCCTCAAAAAAAAATGTTACACGCTCCAACTCTCACGTGTGATTTGATAGGTATGTCTTATTCATAAATTTGATAAGTTTATTTAATTTCAATTGTTTATTCAGAAGCTTACACTAAAGGTCTTTAGTTGTAGTATAGATAAAATCCTGCGTTGCCTATGTGCTTTCAAATTGCTCTACGCTTCTTCTATGAACAATATTTTGATTATAAAATAACAGAGGACATAGACCATGGGATTCTAGTTTGATTTAGGGTCCTGCTTTTGGGAATCTGGGTTGCGATTTTCCATTATTTAATCTGTTGTGAATAATTGATTTTCTTTCATTTTTCAATGAGGTAACTTTTCTTCTTCCAGTGTTTTCTCTGTTTCGTGTGTTAAAAATCCTTCTCTTGGGGTTTTCTAGTATTCTCCCTTTTATTCTTTAGTCAAGTGTTTTTAGCTTCGAAGTAAACTTTGTTCAAATTTTGTATTATATCATATAATTTAATTATTGTCCTTGATTCCCTCGAAATAGGTATGGCAACCGGGTGTAGACATGATAAATGAAGGGGAAGAACTTCAGTTTGACAGATCTGCTTATGATTGTCTTCATGCCTTCAATGTGGGGTGGCCCTGTTTAAGGTTGATGTACTTCATGTTCTCTTGTTGTTTATATAGTTATTGTTGATTTGATACCTTGTTAATATTCATGTATGGTGGCTAACATGAGTATATTTTCCACAGCTTTGACATTATACGTGATGAACAAGGGTTAGTTCGTACTGGATTTCCTCATTCTCTGTACTGTGTTGCAGGCACTCAGGTATTGCTCGCTTTTGACTCCTTGATCTTAAAATTTCCTAGAGGTTGCATGCTACATGCTTGTTTTTGCATTTTTGAAATTATAAGTATCTATTTTTGCTTATTGAAAATGTACTACTGATAGTGAAATTTATGGATATTTCTCAAATTGTTCCATTTTCATATATTTTTTTGAAAGTTTATTGAAATATTCAGTTGATATTATACATGTAAGAAACAACTATATAATTCACACTATATAATAAATATTATGTTTAAATGAGGTCTCACTATTGCTATGGAGCAGCACTATGAATATTGCATGATAATCTATGATTCTATCTACTTTTAAGGTTGAAGATGATATCGGCAAGGCCTTAACCTTCGTCAAACTTCATTCTTCATGTGTTAAAAGATGACACCTACTCATTAGAACAGAAAATAAAAGAGTGGGATTGGAGAAAAGGGGAGTTTGCTGCTTGTAGTTGGATCAGCTCACATGTTCAAGTCGATCAAGTATGACCCAAAAGTCCAAAACTGATCCCATAAGGAATCACACGGTACAAGGTTTTCCATCTTTGGTTGGCATATGATGACAAAGACTGGTTTTATTAGGAGTGAAGAACATATATCAGATGGCCAAAGGGAGACTGACACACACAAAATATACACTAACACACTAGGATGCCCAAAATACCATTGTTATATGCGGCTGCATCAAAGCTGTGCTGCCCCTGGCCTTTTTTCATAGACGTGCCTAGGAAGTTATGCAAGATGTGCCCTCCCAGGTGGCGTGTTGCCTGCATATGCAGGCGCATTACATCATTCCATGTGATTCGGCTGCATGTGCGCACCCTAGTGGGCAGAAAGAATGCCCATGAACATAAGAATGCCCATGAACATGGGTAAATTGTCATTTTCACCCCTTAAAAGAAGGGGGCAGGATCTCTCTCTCTCTCTCTCTCTCTTGGGGTGCGTGCGTGGTTAGTGAAACCTCACCATACCCCCCTTCATCCCCCCCCCCCCCCCCAAAAAAACAAAAAAAACTTGTTTTTAATTATTTTAAACTTTCTGAAAAACTTTGTAGATTTTTCCTGCAACACCTCGAGTTGAATTTCATGCTATCATTTGAAGGATTTTAATAATCAGGTTTTTGATATTTCAACTTTGAAGAAAACTAGGCCAATTTTTTTTTTTAAAAAAAGACTTCTTTGTGTTTAAATTTTGAAAGAGATTATTTAGTTATGGAGGGTTTCAACCTTGAAGGAGTAAACCCTAATTTGATTACTTTCTTATTTATTTTAGTTATTATCGGACTAAGTTTGCGTTCTTCAGTGCTTTGACATAGTATTTTCTATATTATTGAGTTTAATGAATGGATTGGATCATTTGATTTTGTATGTTAACAAAATTAGGCAATAAAGAGAGAAAATCTCTTTGCTTACCCTCTATTGGTGAATCAGATAGCATGTATATTAGGGGCGAGTTCTAAGTTAAAATGCTAGCACATAAATCACGTATTCATGTTGTTCTTTGTATTCTTATATATTTTATAATTTTTTCAGAGTTTTATATCTATTCATTGGAAGTGATGTTCTAGCATCACGGCCTCCTATGCCCATGCTTGATCTTGATGCAGCCTTGCATTTCCAAGCAGAATAGATACAAACGTGGATACTGATAACATGTATACTACTTTGCATTCCTTGAAATCCATGAGACATATTCGAGTATCCTATCTAATACATCTCTAAATTATGTATTATAACTTTCATAACAGAGAAATATATGCATCCAAGACATTGTTACACATATATAGTTTACTAATGATTAGAAGCCTGAACTTGGCCTCAGACTCACTAGGGTCCCAAGCCCTAGTCAGAGGCCGACTTGGCCGAGTTGGCAGTTTGGCATTTGGCTCGGTTGAGTCTGATTAACCATGCAATAAAAATCCGGGACTCGTTCATACTTGCCCGAGCATTAGGGTTATTCATCCAGACCTGGCACCTTGCCGGGTCCGAGTGAGTTGGGTGAGTACAAACCCGATTCACCAATTTTTTAAACACTGTACCAAATCTTTTTTGCTACGCAAAACATTGTACCAAATTGTAAAGTAATATATTATACATATTTTATTTATATTTATAATTATGTAAATTAATTTTTTCAAGTAATTTAGCAATACTTGGTATTAGTACTAGTGTCGACACAGTATGACACCAGAACATGAAGCATTTAGTAGTATCCATGCAACATAGCACACACACACATTGCTATATCTCGTTCCAAGGTACAATGAAGGCAATTTGAATTTGGAGACTTAGGCATCTTTTAAAAGGGAATATTGGAAAGAGAGGTTATAACCTTCGTTGAGCAGCGTAGACTTTGGATGGCTTGGAGACTTCATGCTTGTTACTTATGGTCAGGAATTGGTTTGGGCAACTATTTCAAATGAAGTGGTGAGTGCTGTTGGTTAAATTTTGTTGGAGACAAAACACTTAGTCATTATGGCTTTTACCTAGTTTTCCATGCACCGGATCGGTTTGGTCATGGAGGAACTTTTGGATTCATTTTAAAAATTTACGTTGCATGCAAGTGACTATAATAGTTAGTTAATAGTTAATGCAATGTTCATATCTTTAGTGAGCCATGCAAATGTCATCTACCATTATCTGTTAATGATTTTAGTGGAGAGTCAGTTAAACTGTTCAAAATTATTCTGATGGGGAGTAAATGAAGATTTGTGACTCATAATCTCTGCATTCGAAGAAGGCTTTGTTTGAGGATGCTAGATTGTGGATTGTATGACTTATGTCTTGGTGTTTTGGCCTAAAAGTGAAGAAAAGAGTACACTAGATCGTTACCATTGCAGTGAAGGTGGATCTAGAGTTGGATTACAATCATGGGATTGCCTTTTTGGTTTTACATGTTAGGCAGGATGTGTGTTGATGAAGAAGTTAATGCTTTAGTTCAAGGCTTATTTGTCAATTTACATTTTCTTTCTCCTTATCACAAAATGATTTAAAGGCTCAAATGCCTCCTACCATCCCCCCTCTATTTTTGTTTTTTGCATTTGGGTGGTAGAAGTTGTGCTCTATCCACCGAGTGTGATTCAGGGACCTTCTTTTCTTTGTGGATGTCATCGTATTATAATATGATGCTGACGTGAATTCCTTGATAGAATACAAAATTTTAAAAAAGCAAACGATGATTAGAGATGAAGGAAATAGTTTATGCTTATTACCTGTATTTTGAAGCATGAGGTCAATGTTATGTGGAGTGAGATAGTTGTTGGCATTAAGAAAGTGACAAAAGAAGTTTTATGAGAGACTGGAGGGAGAATAAATTTTGAGGTTATGATAGAGTACCTCGACATGGTCTTTATTGATCTAGAGAAAGCTTATGATAGAGTACCTTGAGATTTAATTTGGTGGTGTTGGAAGAGAAAGGAATATCTAGATACTATATCGACTTGGTGAGAGATATGTATGAGGGAGCAAGCTAACTAGTGGAGAGAAAAGTGAGTTTTCAGTGACAATAGATCTACATCAGGTTTCAATGTTCAGCTCATACCTCTTTATCTTGTAATAATAGGAGTAGAGACGAGGAAGTAGTTAATATTGACAGCAAAAAAATACCAAAAAGAGCTCACTTTCGATATCTGGGTCAATAATCTAAGAAAATGGATAAATTGAGGAAGACATAGCACATAGAATTAGAGTTGAGTGGGCGAAATGGAGACGTGCGAACGGAATTTTATGTGATCGCCGTATACCAGCGAAGCTGAAGGGGAAGTTCTATAGGACAATTGTGAGATCAGCTTTGCTTTATGAGGGCTAAATGTTGGGTGGTTAAGAAGCAACATACCCATAAGATGGGGACCTTGAGATGGTTGAGTGGCATGACAAAAAGGGATAGAATTCGTAATGAATACATTCTAGAAAACATAGGTGTGGCTCCAATATGCAATAAGATGAGAGAAAGTAGACTTAGGTGGGCTGGTCATGTGTGGTACAGAGCCAGTACAACACCTATTAGGAGGTGCGAGTTGGTTCAAGTGGAAGGCTTAAAAAAGGCAAGTGGTAGGCCCAAAAGGACATGGTTGCGAGTAGTGAGAAAAAATATGAGGACTTATGGCCTCACTTAAGGTATGACTTTTGACAGAGCAGAATGGCGGATCGGGATTCATGTAGTCGATCCCAAATAGTTGGAAAAAGGCTCTGATGATGATGACACGTATTTGAAAGCATGTGTTGGCATCTTCACTGTATCCGTACTTGAGTATGCATTGGCACTTTTAGTAGAATGCTGTGCACAAAAAATTTCTTTCATTTGAGAATGTATTCGAGGACAAGATCTTTAACCAATCAGCATTTGCAGCACATGAAGTTCTAGACTTTTAGGGCATTTTTTAATAACTAAAATATCCAGTTCTAGAAGTTGGAAGTTCCAGTTTACTGTGGCTCTTCCTTGTTTGTTAACAATAAGTTCTGGGTTGCCAAAAAGTGAGAATCTGCTGTTTCCATCCCTCCATGGAAGTTCACTTATCCTATTTTTTAGAAAGTTGACCTCTCACCTTCTTTTTTGCTTCTCATGTTTCTCTAACTCTTTTTGTCTCTAGCCACGCTCTTCTCTCTCTAAATTCTTTCTTTCTTACCATGCCTTTTCTCTCTTAGCCTCTCTTTCTCTCTAAATGTGCCTTTTCCCTCTGTAGTACCTCTGTCTCTCTAAGCACTCCCTTTCTTCCTCTAGCTCTTTTATCCCTAATCATGCACTTTCTTTCTAACTCCTCTCTCTCTCTTCCCCTTTCTCTTACCAACAATGTTCCTCTCCCTCTCTTTAAGTCCTTTCTCATTAATCATGCCTTTTCTCTTTCTTACTGTGCCCATTCTCTCTTATCGTATCCTCTCTCTAACTGTATCCTCTCTCTCTCCCCTCCTCTCTCTCTGTCTATGAAGCCATCTATGTGAAGCTTCTTTAGATCATTGTGAAGCCTGATCTTTTGTATTCGAGACCTTCCAGACAGGTTGCCAAACAAGTATTCCAGAATTTCCGGATATCAACAGTTGTAGCTTCCACGAAACTGGAACTTTCAGGTTGTAGAGAATCCTCAGTTTCTAGTGGTGATTGCTGAACTAGTTATTGATGTCTCTCAGAGTTTACTGATTGCAAAAGTAGTCATTTATTATTGCGATGCTGCATTTTCATTAATTGATGAGAAGACCTTTGTCACTTGTTTATACTTGAAGTTCAATGATAAAGTATGGTTGCTTACCATTGGGAGGTTCATATCTGGATTTTGAACAACATCCTCAAGCAACCATGTTATCGCCATGTCATGGTTTACTGATGCGGGGAAATTTGAGGGAAACAATAAAATCAGCAAGAAACAAGCCAAACACAAGCACAAGTCGAAAAAACCTAGGGTTTCTTCTCTATACCCCAAGCTAGGGTTCCAAAAGCCTAAGCTTTTCTCTTTTTCAATTTTTAAAAATCATGTGCAATTGACCTTGTCAAGGCTCTACACACCTTATATATTATAATTCAATGTTCAAGGACATTACATGTCCATATAATGATTAAAATGACCTATATATCCTAACTTAAACTTAAATTTCGTAAAGACAAATTTACCCTGTGAATAGTACTTGTGAACAATACTCATGAATAGTACTTGTGAATAGTTCCCATGAAATAAACAAAAAAAATATAAAAACCCTAGAATCCCTAAAAAACTAAAAGCCCTAGAAATAAGCCCTAAAAGCAAACTATAATATACATCCTTTAAAGTTGAATAAAAATAAAGAACAAGAACAATTTTGCCCTCCATTGTTCTCTCCTGGTTGGAGAGAACTTGTCCTCAAGTTTTGAAGTGTGCTAAGATGAAACTGGCGTTAATTAAAAACCCTAGAGTCCCAAAAAAAAACTATAAACCCTAGAAATAAGCCCTATAATCAAACTATAATATACATCCTTTAAAGTTGAATAAAAATAAAGAATAAGAACAAGTTTTTCCTCTATCATTCTCCCCTGGTTGGAGAGAACTCGACCTGTTTTGAAGTGTGCTAAGATGAACTTGGCATGAATCCGACAACTTTCTTCAACTCGTATATTGCAAACATGATCCTGGGACTTGTGGTTTGCTACATTGATGAAAATACGATGATCATGCATTGGAATTGAGAAACCCTCGAGGAAAGCGTCGCTATATGTCGATAGAATATTTTTAATCACACAAACTTGTTGAATTTGCATCACTTCAGTCATGTAACCCTATTGAATTTTCCAAGATTCAGCTCTAGAACATTGCACGAGTGCATCTTTGAGATTAGCGATTAAACCAACAACTTCACCCTTTTCCAAAATATCTTCACCATCATTGTGATCCTTATTGTATATCGGATCTCCTGGATAACCTTGTTGTTCATCTGAGTATATATTGAAGATTGGTGGTGAATTCTGATCTACAATTTGTTGACTTTCCATGCAATCAGTGTCAAAATAAAACATTTCATCCTCAAAATCGAAAACCCTAGAGTGATGTTCTCCACATCTAGGTCTTCACGCTATCCTCATCACTCGACTCTACACACAAAGCACATGAAGAGGCTCGTACTTGAGATCCTCTTAGGCTGAAAAATCACCGTCTTGCACATTATTGAGGCTCACAAACTGCGGTGCCAGCTGCTGTCCTTGCCTTTGAAGTTCCTCTATTTTGTTATCTATGGGGTCATGGAGTGGATCTACGAAAACTCCCTTTCTACCGCTCCTTCTCGTTGCCATAGATACGCCGAAATCACCAACCCTAGACAAATAATCAACAAAAATTGGTGAAATCAGCAAGATCTAGGTTTTGGCAAAATTTTGGCCAAAATCAGCAAACCCTAGACCCCGCAATAACTTCCCCTCTTGTTTTTGACCTAGGGCACTAAAAAACGTGGTGCTACAGTAATTTCGTACGTGCTATAGTAACTTTTGTACTTGGTATAATAGCTTCCATGTAGAGTGCGGGCTCTGATACTACTTGATGTAGGGAAATTTGAGGGAAACAATAAAATCAACAAGAAACAAGCCAAACACAAGCAAGGAAACAGGCTTGTGTCGAGACGGTACAGGCTGGGTTTTCATAGCCCAACGTCTTTAGTTCCATTCCTATGTGTAACCTTGTACAAAAAACAAAGAAAAAAAAAGCCAAACACAAGCACAAGTTGAAGAAACCTAGGGTTTCTTCTCCACATCCCAAGCTAGGGTTCCAAAATCCTAAGCTTTTATCTTTTTTAATTTCTAAAAATCATGTACCCTCTCCAGGCCCCACACACCTTATATATTATAATTTAATGCTCAAGGAACATTGCATGTCCATACAATGAGTAAAATGACCTATATATCCTAACTTAAACTTAAATTTCACAATGACAAATGTACCCTTGTGAATAGTACTCATGAATAGTACTTGTGAATAGTTCCCATGAAATAAACAAAAAAATATAAAAACCCTAGAATCCCAAAAACAAACTAAAAACCCTAGAAATAAGCCCCTAAAAGCGAACTATAAATATACATCATTTAAAGTTGAATAAAAATAACGAATAAGAACAAATTTTCCCTCCATCATTTAGCTGTTGTTTCTGCTTGTGGTTATTGTACTTCTGAACTTCATAAGTTATTTAAAATTGATATTATTAGGTTCAGCTCATATGTAGTTTTAAATTCTTGATTGAATACACTTTACTCAATGTTCCATTGACTAAATTGATTGTGCTTGGGCTTAATTGACTAGCTCTTGATAATTGCAATGCCACATCCCTTGTTAGATTCCTACAACTCAACTAAAAAAAAAACAAAAAGAAAATCTTAATTTGTTACTTGTGGTTTGTTCTTGGTCCATATTGCACAACTACTTCCATTTGAAGTAGAAACCATAGTTACCAAGATTCAAGACCGGATTGATCGGTCTCTAGTCAAGAGTAAAAACCGGGTTTGGTCAGAAACCAATGAAAACCAGTGTTTGACTAGTTTTAGTTGTTTTGACCGGTTGGTTTCGACCAGTTTAACCGGCAATCAAAATTGGCTGTATTTTTTTTCCTAATATATTACATATTTTTGAACTATTCTTCATTTTTTTTTTGTATTACCTATTTTTGAACTATTTTTCATTTTTTTCTTAAGATTTCTAAAATCTGGGTAAACCAATTCAATCTGCAGGTGAACCGGTTTTGATTGTCTAGACCCCTCACCATCCAGTCCGATCCTGATAATACTGGTAGAAACATTGCAAAGCAACACTAAACTAAGCAAAAGGATATAAGTGTTGCTATTAGCCAATAACAATATGAATGCCATCTGAAGAAGGATTAAATGCACTCCTTCAAACGAAAATATGGTTAGTTATTTGATCTGTAGTCAAATTGGCTGCCCTTGGTATGTGAAAAACATGTGAAACTTGTTTAGACACCACAATGTCTATTTTCTTTTTTAGTGGTTGGCACTTAACTTAATTTCCAAATTGATGTACAAGTAAGTGCGTATCTTTTCTCAAATACAACAGCTCTTTTCTTAAAGGAAAAAGTTTATATAGAGACGAGGCTCTAAACAATCAAATTGGAGCCCACCTCACAAATTTCACTAGAAGAGGTTGTTTTGATACTCAATTATCCTCAAATTGATAATCTCGACATCAAGATACATGGACACGAGAAAAAATGGATTTCAAGTTTTGGAAATAGTGCATTTGTAATGCATTTTTGGACTGTCAATTTTCAAGATTTTCAAGCTTTCATAGATTTGCTCGAGCTACACTATTTTTGAAACTTTAAATTTTATAATTAAAGATGAAAATATATTTGAAGGCTGTCACAAAGATTTCCAGTGTTAAAACCACATTTCTCGACACTATTTGAAGGTGGGCTTTACTTTGATTGTTTAGAGCCTCGGCTCTATACAAACCACACCCTTTCTTAAATAAGTGTATATCTCTTGACACCACAAAGTCTGTATTTTGTAATATTCTGAAATACACGACCCTTTTATTGGGGGAAGAACATTCTCCTTTGAGCAATGAATCACACTGAATCCACCACTTTTTTTCATGACATGATGTCATTGCTGGCCAATATGCATTCACTTTGAACAATGCTTTATCTGGCGCAGATCAAATCCACCTAAGTCATAGTGTTTTAGTTATTTTCCAATTATGACAGTTCCATTGGTGGCCAGAAGGTTTGTGTCAAGTTGCACACAAGGTATTCACTGCTCATCTATACTTATTACAAAATTCAGGTTTGGGATTATCGCCTCTATGTGTCTATGTGTGAGTTTTTTGTTCTTAGATGCCCCTATTTAAATAAGTTAATTCCATGAAAAAGATGACTTCTTTGCTTCTTATTTTAAATTTTATCGTACTCTCATCTAAAACCCTTGATTTTCTAAAAGTGAATGTTTTTTTTTTCAATGACGACATTAAGTGCAAGTTAGACACATGTATTGCTTTCATAAATATATTCATTATAAAGAAATGCTGTCATAAATATATTTGAAGTTAAAATATTCAGTTTTATCTTTTTTCCTTTTCAAAATTTATTACCATTAGATCATCTTTCCAGAAATGCTGACCTTATCCTAGGTATTTTATTTCCAATACATCAATGATCTCTCTCTTAAATATGAATGCATCACATGGGTTGAAGGCTAGCGAATTATTATGTCTAAGTTGAATTTCAGTGTGTTTTGGCATATGCGATGCACTTTCTCTATCTTTCAGTGTCCACTTCTATTCGCCGTTCCATTTAGCTAATTTAGTCTTATCCTTACTTTCCAGGCTGAGGACGCTTCAAGCAACTCGATCGGAATTGTTAGGCTGTCTAACATATCAGGAAAAAAGCGTAATTTGGTGCCCATGCAATCAGATGATAATGAAAGTGAAAGTGACAGTGATAGCAGTAGCGACGAAGAAGATGAGGATTCCAAACCTGTGATGCAGGCAAGCTCTGTTTGCCATCTTTTTAATTTTACACCTTTCCAGGGAATCTCATTTAAGTATGCTTTCCAAATTGCCTTTAATGTGAATAGTGCTCACAGAAACAATCTAATTAAATCACATGATTATTTTTTTATTTTTTTTGTGATTTCCAGTTGAGGATGGTGGCTCATCAAGGATGTGTTAATCGCATACGTTCAATGATGCAAGAACCACACATATGTGCAACATGGGGGGAAAATGGGTATGTGCAGGTGAGTTTACATGTAACTTCTAAATTTCTTTGTTTGAAGTGTACTGGTACTGCAGTCTTGTTTATGAATTGTATATGATTTACATTAGTGTCATTGCTATGGTTGCATTTTCAATAGGAAATTTGACCATATCCGCAGTGCTACAGCTAGATGTGTACGGTTGCTTCTTTATGTTGCTTCTTAGTAGTTGTTTATGGTTGAACAAGATGGTGAGACCATGAAACATTGCCTGTGACTACTATCAAATTGACATACCTGTGTGTCTTGTACGGCTGCCCACTTAATGATTGGATCTTCTCTATCCATACATCTTCCCCAATCAAAGAATGGGCAACATTTCCTTTTGTAATCAACCATCCATACCATGAACTCAGAGGCTCCTGAATCAGAATATCATGTTAAATAAATCTTTTTGAACGAACATCACCTTACATAATCAAACATGAATTTTATTAAGTGCATGGGAACATTACAAAGGGTATTAGGTTTGAGTCGTAGATGTGCTATGGTGATGAGCTGCTTTAATACTTCCTTTGATCAGTAGGTCATATTAATAATTCAACATTTTTAGTTGTACTTGAAATTTCTCTCCCACGAATTTTTTGTTTACATAATATCATGCTCACTGGCGCAATATCCCAATGTAGATGTCACAACATCTAGCTACTCACCTCTAGTGGGTTATTGATATTAATGGAGTAGACAACAGTTGCATATGAAGTGGATACATTATATCTTAGGAGTCGCGTAAAGCTTAAATTTGGTTGTATTGCTGGAGGCACTCTTGTTCTTGTGGGATTTGGAGGTTGATTGAGATTATCGATGGTGCTACATTGAAGTGCCATGTGGGGCCTGGGGTTATTGATAATCACATTGAGGCAGAAACTATGGAAATTTCAGAAGGCCATTGTGTTTGGTACTCTGTATGATGTACCTTGTAAGGACAGGGTCATCTAGGTGATTCTCTAAATATAACTACTTATCTTGGGGGGAGTTCCCTTTATCATGGAGGCTGGTAAGGATATATTTGGAGATTAATGAGAGGCAATACAGGGAATGCTAGGATGGCTAGCATTGGAGTGGCAAATAGCCAAATAGAGGGGATGGCTAGTACTAGATAATAAACTTTTGAAACCTTCATTTTCACATCATCATCATAACGTAAGTCCAGGATTCCTGGTAAGATATGACAAAGTTTTATGTTGGCTGCCTACTTAATGCAACCCACCTCCTTTACCCGAGGTTGGAACGCGTTAAGGGAAAGTTTAAGGTCCTCACCCTTGTTAGATATTTTTCAGATAGATCTAATGATGTCATATTAGTTTGTATCTTTTGTCAAAGCTACTTTGAAACTACCAAGGCTTGGATCCCATGAGCATACCCTGGAATACGTAAGGTCTAGGGAATGCATTAAACAAATGTTATCAGGACTAGACTGGTCATCGGACCGGTGAGGGTTTGGTCAACCAGTTTGACCGGAATTTAAAAATATTAAAAAAAAATACTTGAATAATAGTTCAAAATATGCGAATATTATAAGAAAAGTTGCCCACCTTGTTTGACTGGTTGAACTGGTCGAAATTAGCTGGTAGAACCGGTCAAACACTTGTTTTGGTCGATTTTTTACCAAACCTGGTTTTTACTCTTGATCAGACCAGCCAAGGCACTAGTTGACAATCTGACCGTTTGGACTGCGGGTTTTGTCTGATCTTGATAACTACGATTGAAACTTTGGTGCTACGAAGGTGGTGTAACCTGTAGTGGCTTGATACTTCTAGTTGTAGTGATGATAAATTGCTGATTTTTTTTTTCATTTGTTAGTATTGATGGATGCACACGAGGCCAACCAACCATGAATTCATTCCCCTATCAAAGCCTTTCTAACATGCCCACTGGTACATGTACTAGTGGCCACAAGTTCACTGTAACGTCGGATGTTACCCTGCACTCATCTTAACCTTAAAATGTCAAATATCACTCTGACCTGATTGCTCGTCCCTCTAAGGCTACTCCAAAGTACATTCCACTAGTTTGTTGGAAGCTTGGTATTGCCTCACTATGGTGTGTTCCGTTAGTAACTACATATTGGTATTTTCTATCATGCATTTTCTAGCCTAGTTGGTATTTTATTCTATGCCATTTATCCAAGGATATTTTGGTCATTTTGTCTGGGGCGGATGGTGCATGTGCCTTTGGACTACCATATAACAGTCCATTGGAATATGTTGTACTTCCTCATTTTTAATTCTCTTACGTTCTTTGCCATCAAGACATATATGTGCTCTAGCTGTGCAGGTGTGGGATTTCAGATCCCATCTTAATTCTTTAGCTGCAAGCGATCCAGAAGTAAGCACGGGTGCTTGTGCCACTATTCGTCAGGCTCCTCTACATATTTTTACTGGCCATAAAGATGAGGGCTACGCTTTGGACTGGAGTTCTATCACTCCTGGGAGGCTTCTCTCTGGTATTTACTTTTTTTAATCTTGTGGAGCTCATGTGAAATTATTGGTATCAATAGATAAAGTTCTAATACTTATGTTAAATTAATGTTTTTGAACAGGTGATTGCAAGAGTTGTATTCATCTGTGGAATCCTACATCTGGTGGAAAATGGGCAATAGACAAAGAACCATTTAAGGGGCATTCAGCAAGTGTGGAAGATCTCCAAGTATGAGTTCTACTTTGTGCCGCTATTTTGCTTCTTCTGAAGTTTTAAGCTGTTATATTATTCTTTGGTTATTTTAGTACTCCTGCCTTACCTGTCCTACCTTTTCCATCTTCGTATGTACAGTGGAGCCCTACAGAGGGAGATGTATTTGCTTCATGTTCTGTCGATGGTCGGGTGGCTATATGGGATGCTCGAGTACGGAATCAACCAGCAGTTTCTGTGAAGGCGCACAATTCCGATGTCAACGTCATCTCATGGAACCGGTAAGCCTTTTTTTTTTTCCCTTTTTTGGCCTCTTTTTTGGATTTGTGATTGTTGACTATTTATATTGTGAATGAGTATTCATTATCACTGGGGTTTGCATGTTTTTCAGTTGATTTTGCAATCCTTTGGTTACTAGTTCATATTTTCTGTTTAACATCTGGTGCAGGCTGGCTAGCTGTATGATAGCTTCTGGAAGTGATGATGGCAGCCTTTCCATTTGGGATCTTAGATCATTCAAGGTTTGACCTCTCTCTCTGTCTCATATTTTACCAAGGGCAGAAATGCCCTCGGCTGAAAGTTATATGGCCCCTTTTCTTCCCATTTGAGGGAAAATATAAGATTAAACCCAGATTTTTTCATTCTTTTATTTTTATTGATTTTTATGTTATTAGTTTTGTTGTTCAATATTCATGGTGGTTGACGTGGAGCGGTAATACACTCCATCTGGGGCCTGGTGTTGCATATGTCGCATAAAGACACTTGTTGATATATGACAGTCAAAAAATTATGAAGAGCTCCATAGATGAGCTCAAACTTGGGACCTCTTGCACTGGAGCTGCAGACTCTACCACTCCATTTTGTTCATGTGGAAAGGAAGAAACGCACACACGCATACACATATGAACCTTGTTGTTCTGTTCAAAATAATGAGAGTACGAATGTGTCGTGATGACAATGACATGAAATCATCATTGGCCATGGGCAATGGCATTGTGGAATTTGAGTCCCCGTCTCCCTTATAGTGTCTTTGAGTCATTCACATGGATAATTGTTCTGGTCAGTGTTTTAGAATCAGGAATTGGGTCAGGACTTGATGGGGTCCTGACTCCGAGTTAGCTGATCCAACTCATGCTTCAGAACAAGTCCCAGTCGACTCGGTTTAGAAATTAACCGGAAGTCGAAAAATAAAAAGGTAAGAATCAGGGGAATTCCTCAGTTCTGCCTCTGGACATCTAGGGTCCTGATCCGAGCTGGCTTGAGTGAGTTGTCTTGGCCTGGCGATTTGTAATCACTGGTTCTACTTAGGTTCTTTTTGTGATAATGTGATGTTATTCTTCCTCTGTGTCACTGCACATTCACACCCAAACAACAACACATCCTCACAGCTTCACAGGCACAAGTAGTATCACTGTGGAATTTGAATCCCTGATCTCGTGTCACCATACATGGATGCTTGTTCTAATCAAGTTCTTTATGTGAGGAAAACGGGCTTGAGTCAAGACGGTTGACACTAGGTTTTCATAGCCCAACGTTGCAAGTTTTATTCCTATGTAACCTTGTCCCAACAAAAAAGTCAGGTTCTTTACGTGATCATGTAAGGTCATTCTCATGCTGTATCACTGCATTCTCACACAAACAACCACAACCATTCTCACAAACTTCACAGGCACAGATAGTATCATTTTGAACAAAGAACAGCTTATAGATTTCCATGTAGATATATATATATATATATATATATATATATATATATATATATA